AAACTACACAAAACACAACACCAAAACTATTCCTTTTTCAATGCTCTCTCTTTCTCTCTCTCTCACTGTTGCTATTTCTCCTCAAAGCCAACTTTCTCAGAAAAGTAATCAGCAACCAGTCTACTTCCTATCTCTCATTCATGCCTTAAACCACTGAAATCAGATTTACACCCTCGTTTCTTCTCTGGCAGACTGTCACATTTCAACTGTGTAGCACCTGACCCTGTTAGCCAGCGCCTCTATCCTCAACTCCCACCACACCACAGTTTTGATCTTCCTCCTTTATGGCAGGCACTAGGGCATCAATGGTTAAATTCTACCTTCGTCGCCTTTATGGATTCTTTCTCTACTCGCTCCTTAGAGCTCTGCTGTCAATGTCCTTCTCATTTCACTACTTCAATAATCTGACCTACATTTACCAGTGATCTTAAGTGAAAATAAGTGGCTTTAGTGACCACTTACTCATATACAACTAACAAATCTATACTCCTAGTCTAATCTTCTTTCTTCAATTACGTACCCATACCTCAACCACTTGCTGCACACACAAATGTATGTGGATGAACTCCAGAAATCTAAAACTCACCATGTTAAATCAGAACAATCTTTCTCCAAAAAACCTGTTCCCCCTTCTGTTTCCCAATTGTTAAATGGGTAGCCAGGAACTTGGAGGATCCTCTGCCTTAGCTCGCACAGTGTTCTCATAGGTCTTCCTTAGCCACTTTGCTGACCTGGTCTTTGGGTCTCTCCACAGAGTTCTGTAGTGTCCCAGGAAGCCAGCCGTAAGGAAAAGCTGACATTCATTTTAGGCGAAAAGGTGAGGAATGGGGTAGGGGAGAGAGAAGAAAGGGATTTTTTTAGGACAAAGTGGTACAAAAGTACCACTGGATGGGGCTGTGGATGTGGCTCAGTGGCAGAGCTCTTGCCTTCTATGCACAAGGCCCTGGGTTCGATCCCCAATACCTCCCCGCCCTCCACACACAAGTTCCACTGCTAAGTACAAAATGGTAAGGGACACATCAAATTTTTCTACAAATGAAAGTGCACATAAGTATGCAAAGGGCCCCCATCCCTTTTTTTCCCTTCAAATTCCTAGCTTTTGTCTTTTTTTGAGCCAGGGTCTCACTATGCAGTTCAGGCTTGCCTTGAACTCACTATGTAGTCCAGGTTGGCCTCGAACTCATAGTGATCCTCCTGCCTCAGCCTCCCAAGTGCTGGGATTACAGGCGTGTGCCACCATGCCCAGCCCTTTTTTTTGGTACCGGGAATTAAACTCATGACCTTGCATTTGCCAGGCAGGCACCTGTGCTGATGAGCTATATCCCCAGCCCCAAATTCCTAGTTTTGTAAACACGATATGAAGCGTTTCTGGGAGAGATACAAAAGGTTTTTGGGGGGAGAAAATGGGACAGGGAGCCTTTTCACGTGCTCTGGCAGCCCAGCATGTACCATAGGGAGGAGAAGGAAAGAACGGGTGGGAGAGCAGCTCAACCTGGTGGTAGTTGGAGAGGTTGCTATGCATGTCAGCAATGTCCTCACTGGACACTTCTTTGATGACTAGCGTCCGATCGTAGGAGATGAGAAAGCGACCATCACTGCCTTCACTTTCACTTGGGGGGCTTCGGGTCAGGGACACCTAAAGACAAAGGACAAGCTATAGGCTCTAAATGTGGAGAACTAATTCATAGCTTAATGGCTGACAAAATGCTTCTAAAACCAGAAGAAAAAAGATTGGGTTTGATCCCCCACACCCTCAATCTTGGGTAAAAGATTGAGCAGGGGTTCTTAATCTGGTGTCACATATGGACCAAATGAAATTGAATGCACAGTTTTTTTTTTTTCCTTGTTGTTTGTGGTACTGGGGACTGAACCCAGGCCCTCACATATGCTGCGTAATTACTCTACCACCGAGCTACATCCTTTGCCCTTTTTATTCTGACACAGTCTCGCTAAACTTGCCAGGCTGCCCTTGAATTTGCAATCTCCTGCCTCAGCCTCATAAAATAGCTTGGATTATAGCCACCGACACTGCACCTGGCAAATGCAAAATTCTTAGCGTATCTGTATTTTTTTCCCCCAAGGATGCCTTCATTAGATTAGCTTCATTAGCTTTCATGAGTTTTATTGTTTTTGTTTTTCTTGCAGGACTGGGAACAGAACCCACGGCCTGTGTGTGCCAGGCAAGTGCTCTACCACTGAGCTACATCCCTAGCCAACGTTAGAGTTTTGAAGATGACTCTGACCAGAAAACAATAAAGAGTCATACTTGCTGAGGCTTTTATTCTCCAAATATAACTATCCCGAGGACTCCCAAATTGCTAGGGACTATCCTTATCCCATCATGGGCTCTCACCAAGTAATCCTGGTCATCAATGCCAAACCTATCACGGAGATTCCGGAAGACCTGGGGACAATATTCCTTGAACTTGAAATGACTGGGTAGATTTTCCCTGAAATACAGGTTTTCATGGTGAAACAATAAAATAACAGTATTACCTCACATTTTTATACAGGGCTTGACCGTTTAAAAGACATCTTTACACTTACTGCCTCATTTGAATCTCATAAAACCCTGTGAGCTACTTTCAAAGGTATTTTATAGAAGGGAAGACTGTGTTCCAGGCTGACAGAATGACCTGTCTAAGTTACATGGCTCGAAAGTAGTATAACAGGTAGCATTTCCCAAATCGCAAGCAAGTTAGCAAAGTTGGCTGAATGTACCTGTTATTTATTTATTTACTTATTGGTACTGGGAATCGAACTCAGGACCTTGCACTTGCCAGGCAGGCGCTTAGGGCACTGAGCTATATCCCCAGCCCTGTACTTGTTATTTAAATGGCATCTTCAGGTACCAGAGGGGCTTAGAAGACTAAGTACTTCTTTCAGGGAATCTTTATCAGTAGGTAACAGTAATGGCAAGCGAGTGTGTTCACTCCATGGAACTGCCAGGCTAGAGGACAAGTAGCACACATAAGGGTTCGGATAAAACTAGGAATGATTTCAATTTCTTTGCACAAACCTTTCTATCTTGGGAAGGACGTTAGGTCATACAATTTATAAGATGACTTCCAGATCTAAAGCTTTTAACTCACAGACTCTTTTAAAATTACTTACTATTCTTTTTCTAGAAGGTGCTGTGAGACAGAGGAGGATTTCCCACTTACCTATGGAAAAGGTGATTGTTGACCTTGATCTTGGAGCTAGCCTTAAAGTCATCGGGCAGAAGCATCACCGGGGGAGGCACCTGGCTGAGCTCATTGATCTGGTAAGTCAAAACACGAAAAAGGAGGCAGCAAGAACATGGGGAGATACTTACACCATGCATCTGCACAGGGCTCAGGAAAGGGCACCTCAAACCTCGTCCTTCTAAAAACCCTGGATGTGCATATGTTTAAAGTCAGAGAATGTGTCTAAGCGCTTCTGCTGCCCAAGGATCCCTGTAAGCAATCCTCACACTCCCACACCCATGGAACTTCATGCTCACAAAAGTAATTTTATATTAGGCAAACTCTGTAAGCAACTCAGGACTATTTTTAAAGCTGTGAGAAATTCTAGAAAAAAGGCCAAAAAAAATACCTCTGAAGACTCAAGACAGTTACTTGCTCCATTTAAAAAAAAAAAGAGAGTTGCTGGGCATGGTGGCACAGGCCTGTAATCCCAGCACTTGGGGGCTGAGGCAGGAGGATCGCAGTGAGTTCAAGGCCAGCTTGTACTGCATTGCAAAACCTTGTCTCAAAAAGACAATAAATAAACAAATAAAGTAAGTGTTTTTAAGTGCACAGAGTTAATGGGACTCAGAAGGGTCAAGACCACCATGAAGAGGAAACACCCATATCCTGTAGGAAGTATCTTCTTAGAAACGGGACAGTCCTTCCCGACCACTCTGACCCGGTTCCCCGCAGGAGGCGCCCACCTGCCCAGCTGCAAAGTAAGAGAACAGCTGCTCTCAGAGGAAATGCAGCCATCGGAGGACAAGGGCTCATTAGGTGACTGTTTCCTAAAGTGAAGCCAGTCTACAAACATCACACCTTCTCCTCAACCCCAGGATCTGCAGCCTGCTAATTCAGGGTGGTAGAAAGGGGGCTTTTCTGTATTTAGGAATCTCAAGGAAATGTCCTTTCTGCTTGGTGTTGCTGGATTACCTCTCACCTGCCTTTTTTTTTTTTTGTCTTTTTGAGACAGGGTTTCACTATGCAGTTCAGGTTGGCCTTGAGCTCACTTTGTAGCCCAGGTTGGCCTCAAACTCCCAACGATCCTCCTGCCTCAGCCTCCTGAGTGCTGGGATTACAGGCATGCGCCACCACGGCCGGCATCACCTGCCTTTAAGAGTGCATGGTGCGCCACATGATTCTAACCACCAGTTTATGTAAGTCCTGCCACCCCAACCCCCAGACTGTGCGCTCTAAGGACAAGCGCTCACCCCGGTCTTCACATTTCTCAGGTACCTAGCTAGCACAATGCTGGGCACACCGAGATCCTGAACTGTTATTAACTGAATAAACAAATGTCTTGCCTGTCCTTCCTTGATAATCTGAAAAAGGTTAAGATCTGCAGTCTAACCTAAATTCCACACACTGCAGTGCACGCAACAACTCCTCCCGTTCTTGTAGAAAAAGAGGACAGAACATATTTCTCCAGGAAAAAAAAAAAAAAAAGTCACTTGAGATTCCCAGCCTAAAATTCAGCCATCACTCTTCTTGCCCCCTCCTTACCACCTGCTAAGCGGGATGAATCATCACTAAGGCATATGTTCAAGGAATTTCTCCATTCCAGACATTTGAAGTAGATCTGGGCTGACGGAACGGTGGGCTCGTGGAGCTAAAGTATGTATACCTAAAGACGCTGAGGCAAGTCTTACACGTAATCCTCCAGTCCCTACCAAGGGAAAACCCTACCAAGCTTCCTACAAGGAAGGCATGTGCCTAACCTGGAAGGTACATAGGGAGAGGCAGTCCTATCTCCACCAGTTTTTCCCATACCGAGTGCCTTAGACGGGATACTTGTTAATAAGACATTACCACCCAGAGGGCTGAGCCGACTGACCCCAAATGACGTTCTAAACTGCAAATTAAGAATATGACAAAATTGCATTCTTTCTCATCCCCTTGCACCCCCCAGAACCTTGCCATGACTATAACAATTCAAGAAGTTGATTAATAAAATATTCTGTCACATTCAAGATCGGAAGACAAGGGCTCATCAGGGCTCATTAGACGCAGGGCTCGCATCCCACTCACTCCCGAAGGAGAGAAGTGGGCTATGTCTGCTTCCTTCAGTGGAGGAATCCTCCAGAAGATACCCTGGCCTCCTCCTGACTCTAAGGGTAGACCCTTTAGCGTAGTTTCCTGTCGCCAAAGTTCACCAACAGAGTGTTCCTGGGATCAGAGCTCCTCTGTTTCTCTTTGGTCAAAAATAACCCCCGCTTGCACCAAATCATCGCTCCAGCAGGCAGTGGGGATGCAGTTTCGACCAACGGCACATATACATTCAATCCTGAATAAGGGCAGCCTTTAGGCTCAGGGTGGGGACCTTCTCTGAAACGCTGTAGCTCTAGAAGGAAGGGAAAAGCAGACTCAGAAGGCGCGAGAAGCTCGAACCTCCCCCCAGACAAACCCAAGGCTGCAGAGTCAAGGCTCGAGAGACAAGGCAGACGGGAGCGCGAACGACCCCCTTTACCAAGCCGCCCCACTCCCAGACCCCGTCTCTGAGACCTCCCCACCCCTAGGAGCCACTCCTCAGGCTCCTCCTGCTAACGCCGGGTCCCGCCGGTCTCCGCAGCCTGGGGCTGCAGAAGTCTAGGGACGGGATCGGGACCTCAAGAGCGGAAGGCAGCGCTGTACGAGGGGCGTACAGGCCGGCGGGGGCGAGAGGTCCACAGCCAGAAGTCTGGAGGGGCCCTGGGCGCAGGGGCCAGGACGGCAGCGCGGCGGGCGGGCGGCAGCGCCAGGGCACGCGGACGCGGGGCTCGGGAAAGCCGGACGCCCCCGAGCGCAGGGGCGCAGGGCTGGGAGCGGGCGGACGGGGCCGGGGCCGGCTCTCACCGAGTGGGCTACGCCCCACAGGAACACACCCACCAGCGGGTCGGCCGCCCGGAACACCTTCACCTTCTGTTGCACGAAATGCTTCTTCTTGGTTTTGGAGGCGAAGCCGAATCCCGGGCCGGGGCCCGCGGTGGCCGCGGGTGCGGTGGCCGGCGGGACCGAGGACGCCATGGTCTCCCGCGCACCGACTGAGTGGAAGCCGGAGCCGGCCGCGATCCAGGCGCCTGACCCCGGAAGCGGCGCTCACCTGCGCCGCCGTCACGTGACCG